TGTATCTATCAGTGAATTTTTAAAAGTTTTTGGCGTTTCCCGATCGTATTTCCCAAAGTATGTTGGAGAAAATTATTGTTGCCAATGCGAGATAAACTTTCCTAATAATAAGTTTAAGCCACCGACAGTTCAGTGAAGTTCATTAGTGCTTATGTAGCCCCAAATCCTTTTCACTGGAGATGTGATGGGATCATCTGCCCTTTAGCTTAAGTGTAGATGTTTTTCTGTTCTAGGAATATATGCAAACCAGCGCTCCAGAAGGAGCTAAAGCAAGAAGGCAGATTGCCTTTTTTTACCATAGTGTTTTGTTTTTAACTTCAGGTGCATCGCTCAAACAAGCCGATTATCTGTAAAGGTTGCAGGAGAACATTCACGAGTAGCCTGTCTCAAGGATTACGACGCTTTGGCTTGTGCGACAGCTGCACCTGCGTGACCACTACCCACGAGGACTCGATGCCCATTAACCTCAGCCTAATGGAACCTTCATCGGAAGGCCAGGAGAAGGGCGATGCTGATAACGACTGGCCCATCTATGTGGAGTCTGGAGAGGAAAACGATCCAGCTGATGACGACGATGCCGATGGTGATGACAAGCGGGAAATCCACAGGAGCTTATCGGACCGAGAAACACTTATGTAGCAGAGAGAGGAGGGTGGGAGCACTTAAAGTGTGTCCCCAACAGTGGTCGGTCTGCGACAGAGAACTGCGTGTTGGCCCAGTTAGTGAGACTGTGCCGGTTTTTATTAGTCCATTTTTTAATAGAAGAGTGGGGAGAATTGGAATTTTTAATACTTTTAAGTTTTCAGTGCTGTGCACCAGAAATCTGTGAAGAATCTTCTGTCTGGGGTTCACAGAGGTTGTACTTGAGCAATTTCCAGTGGTGTCTCTGCCTCCTAATTTTGATTTTGCAGGTGGAACATCTCTGTTTTGTTTTGATAACAGGTTTCTTCAAATAATGCTGTCGTGGTCCTTAATCCCTGATCTGAAAGGGGCACCATCTTCTCTCTGAAGATTACATTGAAAGAAATGTAGTTTTCATCCATTACCTTGGACTTTTCTAAACTAAGTTGTGATCCTTCTGTATTAGGACAGTATTATCTAAATTGTAAACCTTAAGTGTTTGCTTAGACTGGATTTGACCTGGAAACCAGGGCAGACAAACCAGGATAAGAAAAAACATGCTGCTGCTGAAAGCATAGACAGTAAGAATAAATATATTTCACGTGCCCTTAATTGCAGGTATTTAGGGAACAAGCTTCTCTTTCTGAATTGTTTTTACTGCATCTTCCTCTCTCAAGAGCTCGGACTACAGATCTTCAGATGTGTCTTGAATGTCATTTAGACATTAGTAGTCTTGGCTTAAGAAATAATAAGCACACGTTATGGTGTCTAGTGTCCTGGTCTCTCAGTTTAGACTAAGCGAACTGCCCAATTCTCTTCAGCTTTTTACAGTAGGAGTTAAAAGCTGTCAGTCAGGTTACTTGGGAATTCTGATTCTGGTAGATTAAATAGCCAGATTCACAGCTGGTGTAGCTGAGGAGCAGTTAAATATAAATATCTGAGCTATGCATATAAAACAGCTCTGAATACTCTTTTTGAAGCAATTGGGTAGGAAATCTCAGAAATTTTTACTAGCCTCTTTGTATGCAAATCCTTTTCTTTCTCTTTTACTATGTTTTCTTTTAGTCTTTGGTGATCCTTCTCATGGTTTATGTTGTTGTGTGAATTTATCCAAGTACTGTTTTGTTTTGTTTGGTTTTTTGAAAACTTCAGTGTGGACCTCATGTTTCTTTGCTGGGATAGATAAAGGTTGGCTTTCAAAGGAGGTGAGATTTTTTTTTTACCTTTCCAGTACCAGGTTGATATAAGCTATCAAAAATCAAGCTGGGAAGCTTTAGAAGAAAACGCACCACCAACAGAAAGCTAACCTACTGCTTCCTAACGAAGAGACAAAACTGACATATACTGTGAAATGAGACTGTTAATGCTTCTTTGCTATGTTGTTCATAAGCGTGTCATGAAAAGGCAAATTGTACGAGCCTTTCTAGCTGGAGTAAGTGCTAGATCAGAAGCCTGTAGACAGACATGGCTGCCAAAGAATGAGCAGTTCCTCCCACTTCACAACGCTTCTTGCGGTTTTTAGTGTAAAGACTTTACACTTGGCAAACATTAGATGGAACCTAAAAAAACAAAGAGCCCTCTGATTTAACCGAGGTGGGTTTTTTTGCATAACTTGTGCTTTTATTTTACATACTGAAAAAAAACCAATTCAGCTTCTCTGTCTGCTTCATCCTACAGTGGAACGGCAGCCCTAGAGTGATGCGCTTGTGAGAGGTGATTCTGATGTCAGAAATGCAGTTAGGAGTCATTGCCAGAGCAGGTAGGATGAGGAAAGAAGAAACAGGCTGCTGCTCAAACAAGTCACTTTACTAGTGAGTCCTGCAAACAGCAGAAGGTAGAGAGGCTTGTTTTGAAATGGTCTGGTCTAAGTTCTCGATGAGTGCTGCCTTTGCAAGAAGATACTGGCATCACGTGCTACGTTTATTTTCTGTAACTTAAGTTGCGTAAGCTTTCAGTAGTCCCTGTTCCAGCTCATCTGTAAATTGGAGTTTGTAATAGCTGAACACTGTCATAGTGACACACATCATCATAGAAAAATCTCACCGGGACAATATCTTTAAAAAATGCAGGGCTCTATAGCCCCTATTTTAGTCATCTAAATTAAGACCATCAAAGAGACAACTCATGTAGCTGCCAGATTTGGAGCCGAGCTCCTTTGCAAATCCTGCTGTGGTTTTGGGTCCTTAGCACTTTCGAAAATCTGAGCAAAACGCGGGCTTGTAAATCTGGCCGGCACATTTGAAAATGCCACCTCCAGCCTACCGGGGCTAGTCTTTTGGACTGCTGCTCTACTTCTATTGAGTCCATCACACATCAGAAGGTATTTTTTTGGTATCTGCTTATCTGAGGTAGGGTGGACTTCTGCATGTGAGAACACCTGAAAAAGAATCACGGATTATCTGCGCGTGCTGGGAGACTAACTCGCTAATAATGAACGTGGGGTAAGAATGTAAATAGGGATCCAAAATGACATTTAGTAACCAGGCATCCCAATTTCTGGTCAGTCTAGCATGAAGATGCCACCTTATTGTAAATACTGGTAGAAGCCACTAGACATGGAATATCAGCTGACCGTGGTTCTGGCTAGTGCGCCACAATTACACTGTCAGATTTAGCTTCTCACGCGGCTGAGCCGTGCTGAGGTGCGGGCTAGCCGACTCTGAAACCGTGGGGACATTCAGAGCGGGGAAAACGAACCTCTCGCGAAAGTCTGGATGCAATAGGAGCTGCAGGAATGACTGCAGAGACCTTCAGCGATTTTACTTCAACCTTTCTTTGGTCTTAGAGATTGTTCTTGTGTGTCTTGTGCGTAGAGAATGGAGCTGTGCTAAGGTGTGTGTAACGCTGGGTAGGGGGGCGGGGAGGGGGGGGGTACGCCGTTCCCATTCCGGATTAAGTGACCCCCAAAATCGATGTTTCCTGTTGAACCGTCATAGCGTGCTGCTTTGTTTTCAGTGGAGTCCTTCAGCCTTTGTAGTTAAAGAGGATGTAGTCTGTCCACATTCTTGTGACCAGATGTTCATGTAAACCTGCTTGCTGTGCTTTCCACTTAGTTTTTGGATGTTTTTTCCTGAAATCTTTTATTGTAGATCCAGCCTCTACAAGCTTTGAGAAAATGATGTAGCCGTTTTAAAATATTCATATGGTGCTTAATGAAGAATCAAAAATAATGTTTTTAGGAAAGTTATTTCTAATATAATCTCTTTCTCAAAGTTTTTTAAAGGCCGTGCAGACTACGTATCTTAAAGTCTTAGCTCTACGTAATTGACTTTGTTTAAGAGTATACGTTTTAACGTACTTTTGCACATAATTGCACTGTATTTCACTAAAGGAATACATGCTGCACTGGTATTCGTAGTGCATTTAACCTCTTGGTGCAAGACCTTGTAAATCTTCCAAATGTGGTTATTTAATTTACTGATGTTTTGTAAGGCGGTTTCATAACTGAAGTCCTTTAGTCTAGTTTAAATGACAAATTCTTACAAACCGAACCTTATTTGTAGACGTGACTTAACTATATTTGTGGATCTTGGAGCATTCTGGAGCTTTTTGATTGTCTAGAAAATAAAGCTCTCTGAGAGGGTTGCTTTGATTTTTTACCATTCAAAAAGTTGACTGAGTAAGCCTGAGAGTGTCTAGATTAAGGTTCACATTTCAATTTCTGGGAATTAAAAATTAATATATCCATTTCTGGCGACAGACGCTTTGCAAGCAAGAATCAGATTCTGGGTAGGGAAGGATTAAAAGGATGCTGTCAACTTAAAACCCAGCCAGCTGGGTTTTTTTTAGAAAATCTTTTATATTATTAACCTGACTTTGTTTCCTTACCAGGTTTTGTAGTTTTATAATCATCTTAACTTTTTAAACTCTTTTTAAAGCTTTTCATTTTTCATGCTGGGTGAGAAAAATCCATGCAACTGGGAAGCAGTCACTGATCCTAGCTAGAAGAAAATGCTGTCAAATGCCTACAGTAAAATGCATGCGGGTGGGGGGAACAGCCTCCCAAATATTCTTTCTAGATAATTTTGAATTATATTGGATATTTCACAAACAGACTTCTTTAAACGTGCCATTACAGACTATGATATTTAAAACCTGTATTTACCTGTTGATTTAGAATATCCTGAATCAATGAAAAATATAATAACCCCTTCTCTCTTTTCACTGTTTTCATTTGAACGGTGAAATCTCTTCACTTGCATTTTATTGGAATCTTTAGGTTTATTTTTGTTTCAGAAGTGCCTGGGAATTACTCATATTTCAAAACTTTTTTTTTTTTTAAATCATTAAAACATTTTTGTTAGCACTAAAGATTTCTGGATCCAACTTAACTTGACAGTGCCCTTTAATGTGCACATAAAAACTGCATTTCTTCTCTTAAAGGCCACTGTTAACATGTCAACCAAATAACTGAAGACAGTCTGGTTTTTGCCTTTTGTTGGATTGTTTGAAATTCAGATTTTCTACAGGTCTAGAAATACTAGTAACTTGTAGGAGAATATAAAGGGCGTGAAGTTGTTAAAACCTTGCCGGCGGCTCCATTTATACACGTATGCGTGGTGTGCATGCCCACACAGAGCTGCTTTTAGGTCTGGAGTTAAGAGTTGAGATGTCATCAGCTCTGCCATGTGGGTCAGCGGAGCACTTTTAGTAAAACACAACCAGTGACTATAACAATTTTTTTGGTTTTTATTAAATGGTTATAGGCAGGTGTCTGGATACTAGTAAAAAAGAAAAAAAAAAAAAACCCCACCAAACAACCAAAAATCAAACCAAAGCAACCACCACCCCTCTCCCCCTGCCAAAAATAATCCCTCTCAAAACAGCGTGCTGTACACAGCAACTTTAAATGCCATCCCTGAATATCCAAAGGCAATACACCGGTCTTGAAACTTCAGACTGCCAACTGAGATGCAAAATATTGTAACTGTCAAAACATACGAGTCTTTACTTCTTACATGCTTTTAGCATAACCAGCTAAGTCCTGTGACGGCTTAGACGCACGTGATGTCCCATTG